TGTGCCGCTGGGACGAGGGGGCGCGGGGCGGGGGGAGGGGGAGGGGGGCAAAAAACCTTTCGTCTAATCTCTCCCAGCCCTTAGATTCGCCTATGAACTCCGTAAATTCAAAATCATTTTTTTTTTGTCAAGCCTGTATCTCAAATACGCCCCCGTGAAAGTTTCGGCGGGAATTACTATCTCGGAAGCCATAGTAGAAAGCTGAATTCTGGAGGAGTGCAACCTTGCAGAACTAAATTCAGCTTTCATTTACTCTTGTCTCTCTTGTGCGGCTTCGCGAAAGTTTTGATAGGGAAAATTATTATCTTGAGCACTAGAAGAGTAGTGAGGCTAAAATTTTACGATGATGTATTCTGCCTGCGCAGGTACCTCACAAACTTAAATTTAGCTCCCAAGTATGCAGAGGTCTTACGTACGACCATGTGAGAGTTTTGATGCGAAAATCACTAGCTTGGAAGCCGGAAAGCTAGGAGGTTGAAATTTGGAGGGGTTTTCATCAATTTTTCAAATTCAGCTTTCATATACCGGCACGTGAAATTTTCAGTGGGAAATTCTTCAGCTTAGGAACCAGACAGCATATCTACTACTTGCCCACATACGAATAAGTGAAACAATTATATTTTTAGTAGGCAAACATCGTGGGACGGAACTGCACAAAACGCATGATCGCACGGCTACCCTGGTGTGCGCCGTTTTTTTTTTACATTTGACTGGATTATTACTGCGCAAATTATGCGTTTAAAGTGAAACACATCTGTGATATGTTCCAGCAACTTCTCCGTAGGGTGTGTAACGAGCAAAAAATGAAAATAAACCTGCGTACAAAATGGCATTCAGGAGACCCAGTCCTGCAGTCAACGGATTGCAGCCAGTCCATAAGGACAGGACCCCTCCAGTAGCTGTTACCAGTGCAAAAGCAGCAGCATGTAATGGAGAAAACCTGAAAACAGATTTTTACTAATTGTTCGGACAGAAAAAGGGCCAATTTCTTGGCACAATATAGAAAACAGGAAAAATTGAAGCAGATGAGTACTCCAATCACATGGTAACCGAGGAAAAGTTCTCGAACTCAGTGCTTTGAAGCGACAGACTTTCACCAATGGCAACATTTCGTATTCGTATGCTACTGTTTTCAACACGGTGGTACTGAAGAAGCGGGGGCGCGATCCTTCCTTCTGTTCAACACTTTGTGGGCATCGGCCTGCGTGATCTAACAAATCAGTCATCGCATATACTGAAGCTGAACCACACAGCTCATCAGTGAAGTGATGTGTAGTTTTAGCAACGCGCATCACTCCTTTTCCCCCACAAAAGTACTTTCGTCCTACGGTAACTTGAGTGCGACTCGCTTTGTGTCATCCTCATTTTCAGGCCCAATTCACTGAACTTCCGCAGCATCTCATTCATTTCGATAGCAGTGTTTGCGATGAAAATCAAGCCAATTAAACAATGTTGCTGCACAGGGCAGGCTACAAATCACCACTTCGGATATGAGGTTGAATTCTTGGTTCAAACGGTCGCCGGTCATTGAATCTCCGGTTTCCACTGACAGTACGAATGCTTGTCGTGCAACACTGGGCTCGTACGCATATTACATAATCGGAGGAAAAACGGAGAAATGTCGGCTGTCTGTTAGTTACAATCAAAGATTTTCGGTATGGCGGCATGCGCGCCTATCAACAGTGCGATTATTTGTCCGTTCTGCAAGTAAAACAGGCTGCGCCCAACTTCCTGCCACAACCGCGTCCCATGCTAGATCGACAGAGCTCAAGCACGGGAGGACTCGATCGAAAACGAACAGGAACCTGTGCACGACGAGCAGCCGCGACTGCGTCCTCCTCATCTGCGCGTCGTACGGCGTCTCCAACAAATGATTGAAGGTGTTCGCCGAGGCAGACAACAGCGCGGTGCCGATGGTGCAGGCCGCAAATGCGGGCAGTGTGAATCCACCAGGAGCCATGATGAAGCCACCGATCGCCGTGGTTGTGATCAGTGCCGTCAGGCGCGCCTTCGACAACTGTAATAGCCATGTGCTCATACAGCAATCCAACCATCAACTGCGACTATGCATGCCACCTCCCCTTCCCCTCCCCCGCCTTCCTCCGCCAAATCCTGAGCAAAGCAACTGGAGACAGCAGAAGAACGGACACCCGAGGCAGCTCGCACCCCAAACAATTTGCGCGCACTGCACATCCAACAATGTCACAGCCTGCTCGCTTATTACTGCCACCCAAAGAGCATTAAAAATAAACAGCGGCGCGCATCAGGGCAGCCGCTGCGACTATGCGTTTTGTGCAATTCCGTCTACCGAACGATTGCCTCTCAATGATTTTCACTGTTT